TTACACATTTTAAGAATTACACATAAACCACTATAAACATATGAAAAATGACTGTTTATTGCCTTCAGGTTGTCTGATTTTATTTTGGCAAACATTTCCTTTTTTAAATATGATATTAATATCACAGACATGATACACGTGTCTCTGGACAATGTATAAACAGAGGACTCAAAATCACATGCTCTGTACACTATGTTGAATTGCCTCATCTAGCATATTCATTCCAAGCATTTAACAGAATGCAAGTTCATACAAATACCCTTGAGTAAAATCTGCTGTAGTGATTGCGTCTAGGTTTCTCTTGGATGCCAATGACACTTGTTAAACAGGGCTTCTTCAAAAAGAAAAAGAATGAAAGCATAAATACACATCTAGAATTTACCTTCTGTACTGAAAAGACTGATTTGCATTAGTTTTATACAATATATGTTTTAATATACAAATTAAGAAACAGAATACAAGTGCTTTTAAGATCCTAGAAGGCTAATTTTGGAACTTAGTTTTAAGAATTAGATTCTAACTGACTTGCTATTGTAACAGAGATCCTGAGACAGCATAATTACTTTTCAAAATAAAGGTTTTAAAAACCAATATTCCTGAAAATACAACAGCCTTGTGTTTTTCTCTGTGAATAAAATTATCCTAATTCTCTAAGAACATCCTTTTTGCATTAATGAAACCAAGGATTCCACTTACCAAGAAGCAGAAGTTCTTAGAAAAGACAAATCACGGTCCAAGCAATAAATGCCTCTCAAAAGCCAAAGACTTGGTAGAATAGAAGGAAAGCAAACCTGAACTCTTGATTTTAAAGAAGAGTTCTAATAAAGATTTCAGTTATGCCAGTCTTGGATTTCACAATTTTACTGAAATTAATCAGAAATCATTTTACGGGGACTTACAGCTTAAATTCAATTATTTTTCTAAAAAAAGTAAAACATTTCTCAATTCTATTTCTGAACTGAATAGAATAAGGCACAATATAAGTACAATATATTAGTCTATTTAAATGTTCCTTATTATTTGTAGTGATATCTCCAAATAACTTTCTCTTTACTGTGAAATAAGTATTAAATTTCCATTTTATAGATGAGGAAATTAAGGTGAAGTAAGGTGAAGTAACTTAAGGAGTCAGAATGGATAGAGGGAATAACGATGGGATTTAGAGACAAAAGGGCTGGGGTTTAAATACAGCACAGGCACCTACTAGCTTTGAGCAAGTTCCATCATCTGGGACTATCTTTCATCTGTAAAATGAGGATAATACCACCTACCTCTCAACGGCTGATATAAGGTATAAGCAAAGCACCTAGCACAAAGCCTAGTACATAGTTAGCCATTCAACAAATATAGGCTCTCCCACCAATCCACAATCCCATTTTCTTTAGCTGGTACAATGGGTATAAAATCAATCCATAACACTGATGTGAGGTAAATGAGATAATAATACAGGCGAAGGGCCTGGCAGGTGCAAGGATCAATACATTTGTTCTCTCCCTCAATATTCTCTCCCTTACTCCACGTCCCACAGTTACTAAATGGCTGAGCCACAATCAAATCCACATCTTGGTTCCACTTAGAACTGCCTCTACACACACATTTCATTTATGATTGCACCTTAGTTAACTGCAAAAACTAATCTAACCTAGCTGCTTAATCAGTTGTTATTTTAATGTGTTCCCAGTAAAATCAATTTCATTTCTTGGGTAGCTTTACTTTTCAGCAACAACCAAAAAAAAGTGATTAATATTCTGACTTGGCAATATATATTTTTCAATACATACTTCTACTGGCATTTCTGCAATATATTCTTAATATTTTATAAGCTGTTATAACCTGAAAGATAGTTAAAAATCTATTCTTTAGATATTACATGCCTAAGCACCTAAATGACTCCATTCGGAGAGTTCAAAGATAGTAGGTAGCCTTCTCATTTTTCCTATTTTCTCCCAAATAAAATAACAAAGTAAGATAGTAAATGTGGTAAGTAAATAAATATGTGCTTAAATGAAACAGATGTGTGAAAAATATGGACCAGATCTGCATTTATGAGGCAATGACCTTCAAAACTGGCAGGGAGCTGTTAACAATGTTCTTCACAGGGGAGCAATTATACTACAACCCTCCTATGTATACTTTCATTTCTCATGGTCTACAACTACATTCGCATATCAGAAAGAATAAAAGAATAGTCTGGTAACTGTGGCAACCTTCATTGAGAAGATATAAGGCATTTTCATTACCTTAATAATCACATCCTAAATGCCAGATCAGTATAACTGCTGCAATATGAAAGGCTAGACCAACACTTTGACAGAATTTCCTACAACTGAAATTTACCAAATGTAGCTATTATGACTCTAACCCAGTGATACATTCCTGATTCTGTAATACCCTAAGTGGTCTCTGATGATCTCAAGAAGCACTGAAATTTTTCTAAAATAAATACCTTATTTAAAGAAAAATATGCCATACAATACTTTTAGGAAAAGGAGGTCAAATTATCACCAATTTTTTTTAATATACAGTACTGCAATTCCTAAATGTTGTAAATACTGCTTTAACCCAGTAAGTAGCTCACATACTGATTTAAAAGACCCTGTGCCCAGTGTCTGACAAAAAAGCGCATATGTGCTCTCTCTCTCTCTCCACCCCCCCCAACACACACCCACCCACACACACACACACACACACACACACACACACACAACAGAAATATACAAGCGGGAAAAGTTGCTAAGAAAAGCTCAATCTCTAATGCTCAAAAAAAGGTGTATGCTCAAAATATTAATTTCACATAAAATATTGTCTTATTTTCCACATTTCCTCACATGGGTAAAAACAAAAGCAATTCACAATAGTAGTGCCAAAGAATGACAATATTACATATACTTTAGAATTCCTGTGTTTTTTAAATTTCATGCAAGAATCACAATGCACAATCATTAACATATCTACATAGTGAACACTTACTACAGTATGGTCATATTACACCCAGCTTAATTTTTTTAAGTGGCCTACATTTTTATAACATATTAAATTGTAATAATGTAAAATAAGACCAGCAGGAAAATAAATACAACCATAGTAGCATATAGCAAGCATAAATCCAATAAGTCCTCCTCAACTTAAAAATATTTTTCACAACAGTAATAAAAACCACCCACAAGTATAATACCAATAAGCCAACTGGGTTTTCCACTATCTGGGAAAAATAACTAGTTGCCTTTTTGTGATACCTTAAAACCACAAGGTTATCACTAAATGGACAGGTGACATGAATTGTGTTTCATTTGTACTTTATATCTTGGCAAAAGTTAATGATCTGTCCCAGAAATTTTATTTCACCATATATCCCAAAAGTACTTTTAGGATTCATGAAGTCTAAATCTCACACTGCCCTTGATGTGCTATTGTGTAAATGCTTTAAATTTTAAAACAAAGAATAAAGACTTTAAAAGCTCTGCACAATGTATTCAAATGGTAAGGATGTCCACTCAATCCATGTTTCCTCTGAGCCCCCTACCAAAAAACAAACAAAAAAACCTGTACATGACACATAAAGATACAATAGAAACAAAAAGTAGCATGACACTCATTCAGTAAGGAAATAATACACAACATCTCTATATCATATTCAACTACAAAAATCCTTTCACTTGATGGCTAGCATCTTTATGACTGCTTAATCTGTATTTAAGTGGCCTGAAAAAGAGATTTTGTTCTCTTTCTCTACACTCATAGATCTTTGGCAGCAGTCAGCACTCATGCCCAGAGTTGGTTTTGGAGGTGGGAGAATAAGGAAAGTGGAGAGAAGGCTGACCTGAGCACGGAGTCAGCAGAGAGCAGCTGCTCTCATATACTATCCAGCGTCTTTCTCACCCACCGCTATTTTCCGCTATTGAGCATTGTCAGCGAAAAAAATTAATGGGGGAGGGGGGTGGGGAAAGAGACAAAGAGAGTAGGACCCCGGCCGTCAGTTTTTGTCTGCCACATCTGAGATGAGTAGCCCTCTCGGGTTTTTTGCTGCAAAGGCAAGGGAGCAGGTGAGACCCTCTGGGTCCAGCTCAATTTGCTTCTCCAGAAAGGGCAGTTTTCGGCAGTGAGCGCAGGATCCTCCTGGCTGGTGAACTAAACACCGGAGCATTGTTAATGTTTTCTATCTCTTACTTTATAAAGGAGGGAGAGGGCTGTGACTGCATTCCTGGGAAAGACTACTACTCCTGACGTGCCACGCAGCGAGAGGTTGTAAAAATCCCTTCAAAAATACCAGGTTCTGAAGAAATGCTGTGCAGCCTTATCGTATTGTTGGCGTTTTTTTGTAAGTCACCGATTCTCACCAACGCCAACCCTCAAATCGCTGGGACTTGTTGCTAAATCTTTACCTCACGCCCCCCAGAATTGCCCAAATGAATAAGATTTGGGGAGAGAAAGGCCAGAGGGGGGCCTAAGTCTTTAAAGCCCGGAGGGCTGGTATCCCCTTCAATAGGCCACTCTGCATGGGCTACGCGTTCAATTCTACCTTCTGAGAGCTCTGACTCACAAATGCTGGGCGGGGGGGCGGGGGGCAAATTATGACATACATCATTATCGTTCCAGCCAAAGAGATGTAAGAAAAGCCGCCAGCCGTCCTTGCCGGGCCGGAGAGTCAAAGCCTGCGCCCCCCGACGGGGCGGCCGGGGAAAGAGCCTCCCTCCCGACGCCCGAGGAAGGTGCTCCCCACACCGGCGGGTTCGAGGAGCCAGGATAGAGCGTCCTCACCTCGGGAGAGGGCAGGGGGTGAGGTGGGGGTCCAGAATGCGAGGACTCGCCTCTCAGCAGCGCCGAGTTCCGAGTGCCCAGCCCCGGACTGGGGCTCAGGCAGACGCGCCCTGAACCGGTGCCGTCCGCCGCAGCCAGGGGTGGACAAAGCGCTGGGGTCTGGAGCGACGGGCGGGCGCGGGCCAAGTTGGCCAGACTCGGGGGACGAGAGGGTCCCGCGGGCGGGGTGGCGCGGCACTGACCTGGATGGTGCAGGTGTACTCGCTGTCGTCCAGCAGCCGCACGGTGCAGCTGTACTCGCGCTCCAGGCTCCTGCTGCTGCCGCTCATCAACCTGCTCAGCATCTTCCCGCCCGCCCGCCCCCGGGAGAGACGCGGCGGCGCTGCGGACCCCGGACCAGGCGCCCCTCAGCCAGGCAGCTCCGCACCGTCCCCAAGCACCTGCACCATCACCCCAGCGCGGACGCCGCCGCTGCCTCCTGCTGACCCAGCTCCTCCTCCTTCTCCTCCTCCTTCTCCGCCACCGCCTCCCCACAGCCCAGAACAAGCGCCCGGCTCTCTTTCCTCCGCGCCCTACTGCCCGTGTCCTGCTCGTGGGGCGGGGCCTCTGCCGGAGGGGCCCAATGGGGGTCAGCGCGGCGGAACCGAGTGGCAGACAGTATAGCCAATAGAAATAGGGCACTGCGATGATGGACAAGCTGGAGAAGCAATCACGGGAAAGCAGTCGGACCGAGACAAGCAGGAGCAGCCCTCTGGCGTCCCAAACCAGGGGCTCCTTTTCTCCCTGCGGTTCCTGTAGATGCTACTTCCCCGCCCCCGGGCCAGGTGTGGGTACCCGGCTCGATCATTGTCAGCTGTTTGGAATACATTTGACCTCTGCTTCAGCGGCCAAGTCCCACACTCTGCAACGCCTCGGTTCTCGCCTCTCGGGAGCCAGAGCGGTGAAAGCTCACAATCCCTGCACCTGCAGAAAGCAAGCACCTTCGGCTCTGGACCAGGCGGCTACCCCCACCTGCGCTGTATCGCAAGGCAGCCCGACGGTCTCCTCTGCTCCACCCCTCTTATTTTGGAGAACATCTGTCTTATAGGAGCTACTTAAGGAAAATCTGCCGGGTTCGCAGAGGGTCTGAAGCACCAGGGTTTAACCCCTAGAAAACCCTCCACTCAAACACCCTTTGCCTCCTTCCTTTTATTTTCAGAAGACAAAAGGAAGAGACTGAGACGTGCTCCTTCCGCCGGTATAATACAGAGGAAAGGATCAACCCTTTCCTTACACCTTTAGAACTAGAATTATCGTGTCCTCATACTTCCTCAACAAAACGCCAGAGTATGTAAGGAGGTATACATCACAAAGAAAAAAATTGTCTCCTGACTTCTCTGACCTTATATCTAAAGACCTCATGTTCTTTATAAAAATTTCGCTGAGACAGTATTCTCCCTCAAAAAATTTTGATGGAAGGAAATGTTACAAAAGGATCGAATCAACAAAGAACGTTAATGCTGTAATAAATATATTAATTGAAAATAATGAAATACACATAATTTCCTGTTATTTTCATTTACACTGTTGTTTGTAGGTATAACATAACAAAAATAAAACCCAATGTTAACCGAGAAAAAAGCCCGACCATTAAAGTATGCTTCTTCCCTAGTGTCTTTGGACTCCAGAATTTATCCTTTTTTTTTTGCATATGACCCACCCTGCCCCACTTTGTATCTTGGATTGCCTATCACCTCAGTAACCTGGATTGCTCTCCTCATTAGTTAATTCTCCCATATGGCATTCAGGAGCCGTAAGAGGAGGTTCTTATTCTCAGTGCAATCCTGGATGAGTTAGTTTAGAAACTAGAAGCAGTGAGCCAAGTATTCTAGCCATATAACCAGATGTGAGCTCCTCTATTTCGTAGCTCCAGCAGGTAGCCTGGTGCCTGCAACATAATACTCAATAAATGTTTTTTAAATGAAGTAAATGGAATTGATAGATATTGTACAGCATCTAAACCCCAAGAGAAGAAACTAAGAGAATTTCAGGAAGGTCTTAGAGACAAGTACAATTATTAATGTGTCAAAGTGATATTCTACGGAGTTCAGCTTTGTTGTGTAGTTGGGAGAAGATGATGAAAGATTTCAGACAGGCAGAACTTTTGTTGAAGGAAAAGTTGCTATTTGACGTAAAATCTAAGAGAGCAAGAAAAAATATCCAAAAAGCTAGAGGAAAGCCAGTAATGTGATGATAGGGAGGCCTCTTTAACAAGTTATGCAAATAATCAGCTGTCAGAATAAAAAGACAAAGCACCATGAATCCAGAAAAGCTCTACAGAACTGAATGCAGCCTTTTTTCAAGGTATGACCATAAATACAATCAACAGGGATAAGATTGTGGCTGCTATGCCAATGCATCAAGTAACATTCCTG